TATATACATATATATATATATATATATATTTATATATATGAAGATATACATATATACACACACACACATATATATATATAGTATATATGTATGAATAGTATAGTATATATTCATAGTATTGTATATATATATAGATATTAAACAATAGATGATATATATATATATATATAAAACTATCCTATCTCCATGCTAATCCCTTTGTGGAGTATATATATATATATATATATATTATAAATGCATATATATACATAGTTGGTATATACATGTATATATATAGAATATACATAGACATAAACACACACACACAAATTAATAATAATAATAATAATAATAATAGTAATAATAATAATAATAATAACAATATTAATAATAATAATTTATATATATATATATATATATATATATATATATATATATTTGTATATATATATATATATATATAGATATATATATATTATATATATATCTATATATATATATATATATGAAGATGTATGCATATAGTGCATTCAAATATGTAGATATGGATAGACAGGTAGAATTTATTTTATTTTATACTGATTCAGTATCTATATTCGTCAACCTCCCGGCTGTATATCGGTGTTTGTTGAGTGTGGTCTCACATATACGAGGTGTGTTTAGTTCTTTCCAGTGGATCCAAACCCACCAGCGCCGCGTACCGTCTCGTCTAGCTCCTGTATAGATTGACAGGTCAGTTCAAAGATTAAGCACGACATGATATGCGTAATAGATGCGGGCATGTTACGATCTTGCGTCATAGTGGCCTGTATATGAATAATTTCAATGTGATCTTGGCAGTAAATGCTGCGATTATACGATTCTATACCACAGGGGAAGAACTGAGCTCAAACAGCTGGTATGATTCAAAGCTCCACGAATTGTGGTGGGAGACAGTAGATACTACCTATTAAATAATGTGATGCGAAGAAAATAAAATCTTTGTACGGGCAATGTTGCTACGCAAGGACAAAAGAATGACAACTTAAAGCGTTGACACAGTGGGTTGCGCATATTAGCGTAATGCGATATCGCTCAATCCATACGCATATGAGCTCGTATGTGTAGTACAGCAAAGATCCGAAACGTCGACGATACACAGAAGCTACACGATCACGCACCTGAACTTCCTCAATCTCGGCCACGACGTACTTCTCCAGGATCAGCTGCGCAACGCGATCTCCCTTGGCCACTATATATGTAATACGCATGTACGTATGAATTTAGAATCATTAAGTATACATATGCATCTGACATACAGTTATACAACTGCTCCCTAAGAATAACAAGCACCATGTTCCCACATTTGTGCACGCTTTCGTACCGGCTTTCAGATATCCGTAAGGTATACAATGATTCACGTACTCGACTACAAGTATAGCATATTAATTAGTATGCACAACACCAGTCAACGTGAGATGCACACATACCGTTGTAGTCGGTTTGAGCGTGGTTGAACAGAACTACACCCACATTCCCCCTGTAGTCGCCGTCAATGACACCGGCCCCAACATCAATGTGATGTTTCCACGACAAGCCCGAGCGTGGAGCTATAAATAGATATACCAAGGTAGGTTATAGGTTAGTCAGATGCTTCCACGACGTTATAGTTTGGTCAGATGCTTCCACGACAGCCCGACCGTGAAGCGATAAACAGATATACTAAGGTAGGGTATAGGACAGTCAAGGTTCACTAACTACGCGGGGTTCTCGATTGGATAGACGTACTCGCTTTGTATTGTATGGTGTGTATGGAGGGCGTTATTTCTCGATAAGCTTCCGTGGCACAACTGTATGTTTGTATGTTTAAATAGGCACAGATATTTCAGACTCACCCTACACCAAAGTTACCGGGAAGTTTTTAATATTGAATCGTGAGGTTTTTGTTGGTGGGCATTGTCGGCAGGTGGTATGCTAATCATGACAACTAAACGGACATTTAAATTTAGCATATGTATCAGTATACATATTCATGTATGTACGTACATGTAAATGTATGGTTCGTAAGTATGAATATATATATATTGGAGATGTTTCCCACGAAATGCAGACATCAGCATGTCGAGAGTACCATCTTATGTATGCGAAGAATCCGGTATGCATGTTCGAAATACTTGCATCGGCGTTCAAAACTACCATTGAATGTCGTTATTGCGATTGAACCAACATTCTATGATTCGCGCCAGCACACGGTGAGACGTGTGTTGATGAGTGTGGCTCGCAAGACAAACAACCGCACGATTTGTTCATGGCCAACGTTCACACTGATACAAAGAGCGCGCTCAAGTACAAGCTGTTCACTCACTGAGTTATGTTCAGCACGTGGAAACGTGCTCAAGCAAGAGGCGGTCTTCATCGAGCATCCACGGGATGGGGACGTATTTGTGAGATACTACCCAGCCCCCCCATACAAATTAAAGAACATAGGTCTGTACCAAGTACCTACATGACAGTAAAAACCAACATACCAACTCGCCCATAGCAGCCGGCAGGGATAGCGATGGAGATGTCTGTCTTCATGATAGCTTTGCCTTGAGCGGGGATGACACCATCATGCGCACTATTATGTGTAGAGGAACCATACGGAAATGAGTGTAAGAGGCGTTTGGAGGTAGTAATTGAATCGAAAAGGCCAGTATATCGTCAGCAAAGCATATGGGTCTACTCGAGTTTGAACACGGTACAAACATAGGCTTATATATATATATTTATATATATATATATATATATCTATACATACATACATATATGTTTATATTATATATAATATATATATATATATATATATATATATATATATATATATATATATATATATATATATATATATACTATTTAGTAATATGTATATATAGTATAT